CAGCATGTGAATTAGTAAAAAATTTGACAATTTTTCTACATTCTTTAATTAATTTTGATGACCATTCTAATTTCATAGTATCATTAGTTAAGAGATTGATGTGGTGCGCAATGAATCACATTGGTATTGTATGAGTTTTCAACAACCCAAAATGTAATTCCACAACAAACAAAAAATTTTGTTAAAGCATATGAACACCTAAGTTGTTTTTCATTGTAATTGTTTTTTTCTCAAGATGATCAAAAATTTTTGTTTGTTTTTGTTTTTTTTTTTGAATTATTATTTACATCACCAACATCCTCACTAATCTCATCATTTTGCAATACATTTTGAAACTTTATACATATATCAGGTGGTGGAGGTTTAGTGTATGACAATGCAATATGAGAAATCATATCAGAACTTTTTCCACGAGCCCATTGTTGACCACAATAATTACATTTTGCACCAGGTCATTTATTATTGTTATTATTGTTAGAGCTTCCAATTTCAGTAAAATGTTGCCAAATTGGTTTTCTTGGTCTACTAATTTTTCTTTTTAAATGATTATTAGTTTGTAACAAAGTCAAATCATCATTGTTATTCATCTAATTATAAAACAATTAATACACATAACAGGTACCACTGAATAAATAAGAATCAACAAAGATAATATTTACCTTGATTTTAAATAATTGAGTTGGTTTTGTTATATTGATTAACTAATGGGTGGACCTTGGGATATTAATTATTCATTTAAAATTTTATGTGTGAGAAAAAAATATTAAGTGTACATATTTGTACCACAAATGTTGGAATGTACAAAGTTAGTGTTCCTATTTGTATCTCTAACTTCATGTAATAAATATATAAATTTTTTAAAAAAATATAAAAACTACATTTTTACTGAGCATGCCTGTATGCATGATAATTGATGTTTAACTATCCAAATTTTTCTAAACTTAAAAAGTAAAATAAATAAATAAATTGTTTGACTATAATGTTTAGACTATTTCTTATTTATTTACATAAATTGTTACATTTATCATGATTTAATTATATGTAATTTATTACACAGATATTTGAAAGTGTTAGGTATTCAAATATTGTAAAATAGTAAATTATAAGTCACGGGAAACGAACATATAAATCGGAAATGATTTACGAAAGTCACACGCAAATAA